TCCCCATCAATTTTGAAAGATAGTTTTGCAGGGTACATCAATCTGGGTTGGAGGCTGTTTTCCTTCAGGGCTTGGAATACATCACTCCAAGCTCTTCTTGCCTTGCTGGTTTGTGTTGAGAAGTCTGCTGTGATTCTGATGGGCTTTCCTTTGCATGCAATTTGTTTCTTTTCTCTGCTTGTAGAACTTTGTTCTTCTGCTGGGTTTCTGGAATCTTAATAATTATATGCCTATGTGTAGATTTTTTTTGATCAAGGCTAGTTGGAGTCCTATCTGCCTCACTTATCTGTATGTTAAGTTCTTTTCCCCTGTTTGGGAAGTTTTTTGCCATTACTTCTGTGAAGAATTTTTTTTATGTTGTCTGCACTCTCTCCTGTTTCTTCATTGACTCCAGTCAGTCTTATGTTATTCTTTGCACCATCTAGCAGCTGCTGGCTTGATTTCTTGTGATCCCTTACAATTTTAAAGCAATTTTTCTTTTCCTGGTCACTAGTTGCAATCTTATCTGCTATATCTGAAACTCTGTCCTCACATTGGCTCATTCTACTGCGTAGACTTTCAATGGAGTTTTTAATCTCCTGGAAATCTGCTTGCATCTGTTTTATGGATTCCATTATGTTCCTTGCTCCTCTATTTTTTTTATGTGTGTCCTCTCTAGATTTAATTAATTAATTAATTAATTAATTAATTAATTTATTTGTACCGGGGATTGAACTTGGGTCCTTGAGCTTGCGAGGCAGGAGGCAGAACCACTGAGCTAAATCCCCAGCCCCTTCTCTCTAGATTTATTAATCATGTCTTGCACTATGGGTACAATCTCTGCTGTTATCTGAGAAATTATTTCTCATTTCATTTTTTCCAGATCCTCTTTTGTTGCCATTTCAGGGAGTCCAGGTGGTTGAGTATCAAGAGTGTTCCATCTCGTTTCCCTTTGGGTTTGCTGTAGGTGATCTGGAAGTCTGGTTTTGAGGCTTATTTACATGTCTTTTCATTTTGACGGGTGGGAGTGTTGTTCCTGGTGCCCGCATGGCTCACCTCTTCTGTGCTGGGAGCAGTGGTATATTGGCCCAGAAGCCTCCTACTCTTCACTGGGAGCAGTGACATTTCAACTTGGAAGCCTCCTCTGTGCTGGGAGCAGTGGTATGTTGGCCCGGAAGTCTCCTACTCTCCACATTTTTACTTTCAGATAATTTTTCTCTTAATTCTTTTTGTGTATAATCAAATACACAGGTTATATGCCATTTTTGGGGTAACAGTATTATGGCTAAATGACATCTCTTTCTACCAAAATGTTTCATTTAACTGTTACATAATCCTATTTGTATTAGTGTTTATTAAATTAGGAATGGATCCATCAAATGAAGAAAATATTTTCCACTTATAATTTTTAAATTTTCTGAAAGAATTTTTCTCTGCAGAAAAAAATGATTTGGTTTTGTACTTTGATTTGTTTTTGTACTTTGTTATATAACTAGAAAATACTTGCCTTATAAATCCAGCAGAAATAAATTTGTTAGCAACTTCTATTGATATAGTATTTAACTTATAGTTCCATGATCCTTCAGGGACATAAAAAACATGAAGCTCCATCAACTGAATGAAAAGAAAAGCAGTTAAAATATTTTTAAGATGGACAAAAATCAACTGATATCCTATAGAATTTTAATAAATAAAATTGAAATAACATGAAAACATGCATCCCTATGAACAAATAAAAAATCAAAAAATTTTAAAATTAGCTATTTGGCACATGGAGCACATTTTCCTTGGAAATGATGTTGTAGATATTGCTTGTTTCCTAGATTATCTCCATATCTTTGATAAATATTCTCTTTCTGTGGCCTAAAATAAAAATACTAATTTTCTCATCACCAACCTTTATCCCTCCCACTTCCCCAGCTACTCATTCCTTTGGAGTGATCTTATGTAATCTTTATCTTTTGTATATCATCTCCATACTAGAGTTGTGAGAATTGGTATCTCTGAGTACCTTCAAAAATGTTAACAGCGTGGTTTGGAAAATGTATTTGTTTTCTAGAATTCCAGGAATAACCTATTACAGATGTAGGGCACATCCATAAGCTTATCTGTGCTTATATAAAGCCATCCACTTTTCTATTAATGTTTTATAATGAATCTAATTAGAATCCTTCCATTTAAAATATTTAGAATACTACAACAGAAACAATTGCAGCAAATTTACTCACATTTCATTTCATTTAATTAATTAATTTATTTTTTGGTACCAGGGATTGAACTCAGGACCTTGTGCTTGCGAGGTAGGTGGCGGAACCACTGAGCTAAATTCCCAGCCCTCTCACATTTTATAGGCTAAGGAAATTTGCTGTTCACTGAATATTAAAAGTCAAAATATTTAAATGATTATACTCTAATTTTAATATTAAATATCTGAGGAAACTTTAGTAAAAGTTTGAATATGACCTATTATTAAAATGAGTTTTTATAGGAGATAAAAATGGTTCTTGCACTGAAGGTGAGGCTCAAATTGTTTTTCTAAATAAAATAAATTATTTCTATACTTTTGATGAAGTATTAAACAAAAATTTAAATGTTTGCATAGACATGATAGTAAAATTTGCCATGTGGTGCATTTTGAATAGCAGAGTAAAGAATGATTTCCTAAGTTATACTGTTAAATATCTGCAAAAGCTTAAGAAGTTTGAAGTAAATATGACATATCTTTATATAAATGTATTAATATGTTACAGGGGAAAATATTTCTTGACCTAAACGTTTGTATGTATGCTTCTAGAAAAATACACTTCACATTTTTTTCAGAACAATAAAATAGTTGAAAATTTTTAAAGTAAATATATTTTAAAGTAAAACATTCTATTTATACCAAAATCCTGGTTTATTATCATCTTTTATTTCTGGATTTAATGGAAATAGCCCATTAATATTTTCACTAAATTTCTTAACCATCAAAATACATTAAAAGATATATCTACATGGGGCACATATTTTTCCATTTGCCTTAGGCTTCAAAATGGCTACCTATAGGACTGTTGAACCCTATTTCTATTTAAAATGTTGATATCTTGTTCACTATGGATTTTTTGCAATAACTTTAATTTTTAAAAATATTGTATTAAAATGTTTATCTTGATTTACTAAAATTTTTATTGGCCCCTTAAATTTTGCATCATGACAGCAAGTACATCATTTACCTTGGACTAGTCCTGGCTCTGTAAGAGGTACAGAAACTAACCAATAAACATAAAACACTAATAGGTTAGTATATTATAAGCAGACAATTACTAGGAAAAAAGAATAAAAGCAGAGTAATGAAAATAGGGAAGACAATGATTGGAGAAGTTTTCAATTTTAAATAGAATAGGGTAGGTATCACAGAGCAGGTGAGATTTGGGTAAAGAATTAAGGGAAACAATAAATCAGTCAAATGATATCCTAGATAAAGAGTTCTAGGAATAGCTAGCGGCAGCACTTGGGAGGCTGAGGCAGGAGGATCGCCATGAATTCAAGGCCAGCCTGGACTACTGGAATAACTACATTGCAAGCCCCTGTCTCAGAAAAGCAAAAATAAATAAATAAATAAAGCTAAAGGAAAGGCCTCTAGGTATGATTAGTATGATTAAGGCAGAGAGAGTAAAATAGTGGCAGACTGCCAGCAAAAGATTCCATTTGAGAGTCATGGTCATAAATTTAAGGTGAGAATAGTCCTTGTGCTGGCATATTTTTCTCTAACCATGTTCAGCTGCCTGAAGTAGGTAAGGTATAGGTGAAGAAATGAAGGAGAGTTGTTTTGCAAATGAAAACAGTAGAGCAAGAGAAGGGCAAAGCGTCAAAAGTATGCACTAAGGACTGATCAAGACTGTTCTATGGAATTTAAGCTAGGTATGCAGCACATACCTAGTTTTATTATTACTGAGAAATAAAGATGGCAAGATCAATTCACTGGAGGTCTCAATTTAGAATACTAGAGAAACTGAGCTAATGATGCAAGAAGTATAATTGAATAATGGGATACCTGAGATGAGGAATCGATATCTAATACTTTATGTAACTGGCAGTTTTTGATTTATCAAAACTCAAAAACAATGATAGGCATAATTTTCTTACCTCTGATGAAGAAGGTTGACTTGAATTGAGTGACAGGCTCATCAGTGTCTGCAAGTTATAATTATCAGTTGGAATTCTGGTTGTTCTTCTAACTTTCTTCATTTAAGTACTACTATATATTCGATAGATTTTTGGCTTGTTTAAAAAAGCATTGCACTTACTGCTGGCCTCTAATTTGTTAAAAAAGTAAAAAGAAATACAAAAGCTTTAAAAGATTCCAAATGAAACTTGGCCATATATACAATCTTATTCTCATAAAAAAGACACACTACAAATAAACAGGTAGGTAATTGCAATGAAATGAACATACATCTTATATGCATGGTCCCCATCTTGTAAAATTGCAAAAGCAATACTCTACTTTAAATTTAGAATTTTCATCTTTTCATGGGCCAGCAGTGTGTGGTTGTATACTCTTTTACAAAGCTGGCCAACAGCAGTGAGACATAGGTCCCAGTCAACCACAGGAGCCCAGATGGAAACAGCTGATACTTCATTCACAGTGTAACAAATTGAAAGCTATGACACCCAGTAGGTGTATTAAATGCACTTCAGTTTCAACTTATGATGGATTTATCAAGATGTAACCTCATTCTAAGTCAAGGATAATTAGGTAAATTAGTTAATTACATTGTAATGGACTTTAGACTAGGACATATTTTACTATTCTAAACAAATCATTTTACTCTGAGTAAAAAATTAACTATATAGTAGTTTACATAACACAGAACTGTACTTTTGGAAACAGAAAGATTGAACTTATACAAATGACTATAGAATGATAAGTTTTCTCATTTCTCAATAAATGTAAACAATCACTCCAGATGAAAATAGTAGTCTATAAATGTATCAAGCATCATTTATATATTGTTTTTCCTGAGAGGATTTATGGCATGATAAAGTTAAAAATATATAAATATATAATAAAATTGAAAAATAGGCAGCTGATTTATTATTTTAAAAAGGGATCATCAAAGTGAGTCAGTCCTTAAGGATATGATAATCATACCAAGACCACAGTAGAAACTATTTCAGATTTCAAAACATTGTTCCTCCTTGGTTTATATTAAAATAGTAATGATTTAAACACAACAAAATTTTAAGTCCTCTAACCCTGATTATAGTGCCATGAAATACTATCAGATACTGCTAATTATTTTAATGATATCAAAATTAGAAGATTATTTCCCAAGATATACAATGTTCTAAATAAGTTTCACATATTACTTCCTAGATACATTTCTTATAATTAGAAAGTAAAATGTGATTTGTCATTTTGGCTATCTGATACACTACTTTAAATACATCAGTATTCTAAGAAAACATTTAGTTTCATTTCTATATCTATTGAAAGGCTTTCTGCCTTTCTACTAATACTAGTTTCTATTATGAACTTGTTATGACTCATATGCATATATGGCCACTTCCTTATTATATAAAAATTTGTGATACAATAATTATACTATGTTACAGTTTAGATCTAGAATGTTCCCTCAAAGCCTCATGTGTTCAAAGATGGAACTTTTGGAAGGTGACTGATCACTTGGAAGGTGACTGATCATGGGGGCTCTATACTTACCAGTGGACTGATCCACTGAAGAATCCGTAACTTCATGTGCTGTTAGGAAGTTGGGTATACTCTGGAGAAGCAGGTCTCTGAGGTGTGACCTGTAAGAGTATATCTCTCCTCTTGCCTTCCTTCCTCTCTACTTCCTAATGACCATGATGTGAGCAGCTTTCCTCCACTATGCCCCTCTTCTATGATCTTTGTGCCTTGAAGCCTGACTGTAACCATAAGCCAAAATAAACTTCTCCTCCTTTAAGTTGTAAGCGTTGGTTATTGTGTACAGTGACAGGAAAATGACTAAGGCACAGTATGTGAGAATTCATTGATTATTGGTGTGTAAGTTAGGAAACTAGAATTTTTAGTTTCTGTAAATATATTAAAATATTCTAATTCAAAAAATTCTAATTAAGTGAACTGAAGACAGGTCACTCAAGACCTGCTTTGCAACTATCCTAAGGTAAACTGCCCCATTATAATATCCCTTCTAAGATAACAGCAAAGAAGTCATGTTTTGGATTGTAAGAACTCCATTTGTTATTTCTGACTGGATCAGTGCTGGAGACCAAATCCTGGGGCAGCCCAGAAACAAATAAAATGGCCCAACATCAATAGATGAACCTTTAGGAATTAAAATTGAGAAAATATCTCAAGGCTAAAGTATTAGTTGGTAGATACCAAAGGAAGAATAAAGTACAAAAAGAACTCATGAATTAGTAATATCATACTCATCAGATAAGCCCACGTTATGAGTCATAGCTATAATTATTTGTAAATAGCCATTAAAAAGTAGAATACGTGAACTGGTCATGGGAGGCACATTAAGGAGATACATAGCTTATTCACATTTACAGATAGGCACTACAGAGAAAAATTCTTGATGACTTTTTTCTGCTGAAGCCACGAGCCTTGGATCTTCCAGTTTGGTTTATCAGTGGGAAAGTTCTTGGTTTTGGATTTTTCATGGACTATCAGTCTCCACTACTGCTCTGTGTTCATCTCTGTAATAATCTCTCCAATTATTGAGGTAACATGAATAATTGTTATTATAACCAAAAGAGGCTAATTAAAACTTCAGGCTTGCTTAAAATTTGTAGTATATCCTAACCAAACCACATATGCAACCCTGACATATAACATTTGGGATTTTCAAATTCTTTACCTATTACTAATTTGCTAATGAATAAAATATTGCCAACAATTCATACAAAAGAAGACTTAATAACCAGAGTGACTGTAGTGTTCTGGTACAATCTCTCATTTAGTGCAACATTTTGTTTTACAACCCTTCTGCCAAGAATGGAAAATCAATTTTATCTTGCACACAAATTCCAAGTGAGTTACTAGGCTGGGGATGTAGCTCAGTGGTACAGCACTACCATACATGCTCAAGGCCTGGAGTTTGATTCCCAGAACCACAGAAAATAAAAGAATGTGATAAATAAGTTACTGAAAAAGATCCCAAGATCACATCCAGTCTCAATAGGAAAAAAATACAGAAATTATCATAGTCAACTATGGATTTGGGAAGAAGGACTTTCAGTCAGTAGCAGAGCTGAAAATCAAGCTCGAGAATTTCTGGTCTTCCGTGCAGTGCTTAGAAACAAGAATTCTGGTCATTTTTAGTACCTGTCTGATTTGATAATAGGATATACACAACTAATAGTCAATGGATTTTATATTCATTTTTAAAGGTATTTAAAAAAATTGATTTTATTGGTACACTTTTGACATAATGATCACATTTATCATGGGGAATTTGCATCTTTACATAATGTATCTTAATTCTTTTTTCCCCCATTCCCTACCTTTCCCTTCAATCCTTCCTTCTCCTTTTTCAATACTGTTTCTATTATTTTCCTTCCATTCTATTTTATTTTTATCCCTATTTCCTGCCTTCTCTTCCCCCTCCCCTCTCCTTTGTTCCCCTCCCTATTTGAACATTTTCTTCCTACTTCCTAATATCTATCATTCATTTTGGTCCTTATTTAAACTTTGAGTTTCTCACAGAAGAGAAACAATGTGATATTTAAACTTGCGTGTCTAATTTATTTCACTCAAAATTATGTTCTCAAGGTGCATCCATTTACCTAAAAATATCTCAAGTGTATATCATTCTTTATGGCATTGTAGTACTCTATTGTACTTTTAAAAAACCACTTTTTTTTTTTTTGGTCCATTCATTCGTTGATGGGCATCTTGGCTGTTTCCAAGATTTAGCTATTACAAATTGTGCTGCTGTGAAACATGGGTGTGCATATACTGCTGTGGCATGGTGCTTTTAACTGTTTGGGGAAGATACCTAGAAGAGGAATAGCTCAGTCAAATGGAACCTCTAGTTTTAATTTTTTGAGAAATCTCCATATTGATGTGCATATTAGTTGTACCAATATACACTCCCACCAGGAGTGGAGAAGGGTTCCTTTTCCCCCACAGCCATGCCAGCATTTGTTTTTTAAAAATTAATTTTACAGACATAGGGATAAAGGGAGAAGGAGAAAGGAAAGAAGGGAAAGGAAAAGCTATGAGAAAAGAAAAATAATGGAAATGATGTCTATGTAAATAGAGAAGGGTGGAGGGGGTGAAGGGTGCAGAGGTAATGGGGAAAAAATAAGAACCAAGATACATCATGTACAGATACAAACACCCAATGATAAATGTAAATGAATTGTATACCTAAAATGTACCAATAAAAGAACTTAAGAAAAAAAATTAATTTTATTGGTACATATTTGATATACATAATGATCACTTTCATCATACGGAGTTTGTACCTGTACATAATATATCTTGATTTTCCCCCATTCCTTTCCCCTCCCTTCAACCCTTCTTTCCCTTACTTACAAAAGCTTTGTTTCCATTTTTTTAAATTCTTTTTTTCCTGTTCCCTTCATTCCGTTCTCCACCCCCTGCCCCTTGTTCCCCTTTCCATTTGAACATTTTCTTCCTGCTTATAAGTAGCTATCATCCATTTTGGTACTTATTTACACTTTTGGTTTTGCCAGAATTTGTTATTGATTTCTTGACGATACCCATTCTTTCTGAAGTGAGATTTCGAATCTCAGTGCTGTTTTAATTTGTATTTCCCAAATGACCAGTGATGTTCAGTATTTTTTCATATATTCATTTGCTATTTCTACTTCTTCATCTGAGAAGTGTCTATTCATTTCATTCTTTTTTTGGGGGGGGCGGGGGTACCAGGGATAGAACTTGGGTCCTTGCACTCACGCAGCAGGCGGCAAAACCACTGAGCTAAATCCCCAGCCCTATCTATTCATTTCAGATGACCAGTTTTGGACTGGGTTTTTAAATTTGGGGGTCTGATTTCTTGAGTTCTTTATATATTCTAAATATTAGTCCTTTGTCTGAGGAATAGCTAGTAAAATTTGTTTCCCATTCTGTGGGTTGTCTTTGCTCTGTTGGCAGTTTCTTTTGCTGTGCAAAAGTTTTTTGATATGATGTGATCCCAGTTGTTGAGTCTTTGTAATATTTCCTGTGTGATTGGGGTTTTGTTCATAGTCTTTTGCCTATAACTATGTCTTCAAGAGTTTTACCGATTCTATCTTCCAGCAGATTGTTTTAATATTTAGATCTTTGATCCATTTC